CGTATCCATGGTCGTAACCTCCATGGCCATAACCTCCGTGGCCGTAATCTCCGTGATCCGCCGGCCTGAGAATTTTATCTGCACAACCGAAAACTTAATATAATCCATCCATGCATGCATGTCCTTAGAGTTTTAGTGCTATTTGGATGATGCTGATTTTCAAGGTAAAATATGTGACCGAGAGCATCGGCTAGAATTGATCATACCGAGAGCGAGGACGGAGCCTTCTCCGGCGAAGACGAAGATGAAAGTGGAAACAAACTCGGCCAAGGTGGCTCTAATGGAGTCCGGGTGGGTGGCCTCGTCGGCCCTTCCGAAAGCATATCGTCTCGGCGGCATAGCGGCAGCAAAAACAACCCGAAACGAGATTCCGATGACCGACTCTCCGATGGCTCCGGTGGGAAAACAAAACAAAACCAGAGCGTTTGGTATGTAGAAGCTAAGGCTGCAGGAATTTTGTCTAAGAGATGGAGGAGGAAATTGGAAAAGTGGGTTTGTTGCATGGCTGAGTAGTCGAGGGGCGAAGGCTTTAAAATGGGGGAAAGATGGGGTTTGAGGGGGGGCAGACACCTGTTCAGGCAACATTGTAATGAGGCGACACGTTTTGATATGTGTAAGCTCTGCGATTGCTACCTCTCTTTTATCTCCATTTTTCATCGCTTTGGACGTATTAACACTTATTTTGGAGCTGTTCTGCTCTGTTTCAGACACACACAGATAGAGAGAAGGAGGGAGTTAGATCCGAGTTGATCCAACCTTGGATAAAATTTCCTTCCATCGCCGACCCACATTTGGATGCCGGCCCATTTACCAGGCCCATCATACTCTAAGGCCCAACCCTCATAATTGCTAAATGCCTTTAATTTGGGAGAAATTACTGGGAGAGATCGCCAATATGATCCGTAATTTTACACTATTTGTATAAAATATATGATTGGTGCCTTAACCACTTAAATTATGTTCGGTATGAGTTTGACATATTCTTTTAGTTAAAATAGATGATCTTTTGTCTGAACAACCTGACATCTTAGTTAGAGAAGTTAAGACTATGGTTAAAAAAAACGAAAAAACCTCCTTAGCAAAGGTGTTGTAGGGATGCTACCAATCAAATAATGCAAAATTAAAATCAAGTCCCAATAATCACTTAGACTAGTAAAATTTCGAGAATAAAAATATTTAAAGGTGGAAAGTTTAGCTAGTAACCTACGATTACAAGTTTAGCTATTAAGTTATGTCTTGAAATGTTTCATGTGTTCTTCAATTTGTAAATTAGTAGCTTAGATTAATTAAATTTTTAAATTTAGTCAACACGAGCATAATTTAACGATTAAGATACCTTATTCTTTCTTTTGAAGTTAGAAGTATAATCCATGTCTCATATTTATTATACAATTTTATTTTTTAATTTTTGAAAATAGATTTTAAATGAAGTCTTAAATCTACAATTTTGGGAATTTAATTTTCTTTTTCAGTTCTATCTCTAAATTTGAGAAATTTCAAAATCTTCCTAGATCCTTTGTTTAATTAGGTCATTCTTTTCCTTGCTGAGAAAAAAGAACAAAAAAAAAAGGAAGATATCCTAATATCTCTCTCCGTTTCTTTTTCTCTGTCGCTCGAAACCCTCGTTCTCAGCCCCTTCCTGCCGGCGATACCCAAGCGAGCTACGACGATCTTGGCSTCAACGAAACTCCAGCGGCACGCGCGAACCACGATCGGCGAAGACCCGCGACTCCCTTCTCCGGCTACGTATTCATCTGTGAACTCGATTCATCACTATTATTCCGGTCTATCTCTGTTGTCGCATTGGTCATTGCAGGTTGCCGATTGAATTCTCCTGCTAGATTCATACTGGATTATATCCATCATCGATTAGGTGTTGTACAACCAGAACCATCTTCTCTTTTACTTATTTGATTTTTGCTGTCCACTCGTATTACTATTTCGAACTCCAGAAATTGGGCTCACTGTAGTTGAATAGGCTGCATTCGGTAGCTTGCAATCAGTAAGGAGTATACTATTTTCACTGAAATATGTTTCTCTCTCCGTTTCATCTCCATTTTACTCCTCGCACCTTCCTTTTCGATGTTTTTATCAGTTGTTTATATTTGTAACATCGATTTAAAAACTAAAAATAGTGACGATAGAAAGGTACGTTCATAGAATACGTAATGGATTATGAATTAAAAATGATAGAATTATGATGGGAGAATAAGATTAATAATAGTACTCAATTTATATTACATTTTACTTGAAAATAATTTACAAGGCGTCATGTGAAATTTTTGTCCTGGGCCCACCTGATTCTCTCGTCCCTTTCTTTCTTTCGTTTGTTTTCCTTTCTTTCTTTCTTCTGTTGGCTACTTTATTCTGCAGGATCCATGTGCAAATTTCTGAATGTTCTTGTAATGATGCAGTATTAGCTATCGTGGAATCAGCAGGGATGTCTGAACTGGAAGAGAAGCTAGATGAAATTAAACCTTCAACAAGAAATGAAGATGAGTTGGTGGAAGGAGATGAAGGAGAGGAGGAGGACCTTTCATGGTCATCAGACTCTGACATTGGTGATGCATTGGACTGGTTGGATGCGAAGGAAGATGCTGAAGCAGTAGATGGGGCCTTTTCACTTAATGCTAGGCGTCCTAATGCTCATGGTGGACTCTATTCTCGTCATAATTMTTCGACTCTTCAGCCTCTCTCAAATCGGAACCAAAAGTATTCCAATCATATTCGAGCTTCCCCTCTTGAGGTATATTAAATCTATTTCTCATTCTCCACTGTTTGAGAAATTCTCTAGTTTCTATGAAGTGATTGCATGAGTAAACTGAATCTAATTAACTTTCTCGTTTGTTGTGTTTACTTTTCTGCTGCGATAACAATATAAGGTGAGCTAGTTGGACAATCATATTTGTTGGCGTGAGTGACATAGATGCATAGGTCCTTTATGAAACATTATTTTGGCTATGATTTTACATGCCTYTAGATTTTTATGTTTGGGATATAAGAAATAGAGSTTTCTGACATCTGAGTATGCCTTCTGGGTGAGCATTCAAGAGGATTTTGTATTCCCGCCTTTGGTGTTGGGTTTTTTAGATCACAGTGGCATCCCTTTGAACTATCACCTTTCTTATATTAACTTAATTTACATTAGATTGTAATACTTCTGTTTGCTTGATAGATTGATAGATAAAACTRTATTTATTTTAAATTTATACGTTGGTTAATGCAAATTGCATAGAATTAGCTAATAAATTCATGCCATTTTGATTTATAAAACTGATATTTGGGTAGAAATGCTAAGGCGAATAATGTAATGAAATAGGATTTGAATTTAATTACTTGAAATTAAATTTAAGTTTGAAGTAAAACATACATGTAATTTGAATAAACCATAATTTTTGTTTATCCCCATGGACTAAATCTACTCAACTGATACCATCATTTAAGTATTTCTAGATAATCTTTCTTAAGTGCTTGTTAGTAATCCTTGGCAAGGGCTTGGGATCTCTKGGTCATATTGACTCAGAGGTCTCAAGTTCGAATATTCGGGTGAGCTTAATAAAAAGAACCCTTGATGTCCCCTGTGTCCAGGTCTTGGGACAAGTGTGGGTGCCCCGATATAGGGAAGTTAAACTCCGACTCTCGGTTATCAAAATAACTAACTTAATTCTCAGACTTATGGATTCTCTATGACCGAGTGCCGCCTTAATTATTTTTCATGTTTCTTTTAGTACAACAAGTGTTTTTAATGTTTGTTACTCAATGATGTAGGAATGGGAAGGGAGGTTTAACGTCAGTATGTCGAACTCTGTTACCACTGCTATTCGTGGCAGTGTCAGGGAAATGGCAATAGGAAAAACAAAAACTACAGAAAAAGCTGATCGTGCGACTGTTGAACAGGTTGGTGATGATAATTTTTTCTTGGTTTGCTCCTGAAACATTCCAATCTATTGTGCATTGTAAGTACTTATATCATCAAATTCATGACTGATGTAGGCAATAGATCCTAGAACTCGRATGGTTCTATTCAAGATGCTCAACCGGGGTGTTTTTCATGACATCAATGGCTGCATTTCTACTGGAAAAGAGGTATGTATTATATAACTTATTATGGAACTGGAGTAAAGATTTCATCCTTTCATAGTCCTCCATTTTTATCTAGTATGTTATTCTAAGTAGTATTTATTCATTTGTCTTTCTGTCTTTTTCATCAATAGGCTAATGTCTATCATGCAACAAAATCTGATGGTCAGGAATTGGCTGTCAAAGTCTACAAAACTTCAGTTTTGGTGTTTAAGTATGTCTCAGGCTCTTTAGTTTGATTTGGAGTTCATTACTTTGGTTCCATTCAAAGTTTTTATGATAGTTGCCTTGACAACAGATTTTGGGTTTTGGATATTACCAATTAGGTACAGCCATGGTGATAATCTTTTTGGTTAGTTCGAAATGTGGACAAGAATTATTCTCATAGTTTGATTGTCCCTTCTATCTGCATATCAGGAATCACACAACGCGCCTTACAATTTTGTGATCTTTTTTCACTTTAATTATAGAGTAACATGGGATTTTATCAGTTTTTTTTTTCTAGATATAAAAGTGAACCATGTCTTCTGTTGTTATGGAAAATAGGAGGGATGTATCAATGTAAGGAATCCCTCCACAAAATATTGATATTCAGAGAATAAAGAGCCCTAGGGYTTTACAAAAGTCTCCCCCAGCCAGTTAGAGAGGACTGGTTCTCTCTCTACCAAGTCTTGCCAAAACAAACAGCATAAAAGCATAACACAGCATCCCAAAAGCATATAAACTGAAACTAACTAACTTGAAGAGGGTGAATTCCCTTCTTTACCCCTTCTTACACAAGTATTTACTAATGGGTGCTTTACAATCGCATTGTTATTTTGGAACTCATTAATCGTTTGTATTGATGTCCTGAGCTTAGTTTATTATGCTGGTCAATTTCAGGGATAGGGATCGCTATGTCCAAGGTGACTACCGTTTCAGACATGGATATTGCAAGCACAATCCCAGGAAAATGGTGAAGACATGGGCTGAGAAGGAAATGAGGAATTTGTTGAGGTAATCTCACCAATTATTCATAGTTCATGTAAACCTCCATTGTCTATAACATTGAGTAAACAATTGGGTTTCTGTCTGTTCGGTTTCGGTGTTAACTTAAGCTTTGTTTATCTGAGGCTCTGAGTTACACATGGTGATTGCCTTTTTAGTTTTTACCATAGAAATATCGTATGAAATTTTGCATGCTAATTGTTGTAGTGTTAGGCATGTATTGGTGGTATTGGTTGAAGTATAGGTAAACTATTCTATTTTATACCCACGGCAATTAAAAAAATAAATCTATTGCTTCGTCCATGTTATTTTGCTGACTTTGAAGTATTGGTTGAAGTATAGGTAAACTATTCTATTTTATACCCACGGCAATTAAAAAAATAAATCTATTGCTTCGTCCATGTTATTTTGMTGACTTTGAACTTTCAGGTTAAAAGCTGCTGGAATTAGATGCCCGACTCCTCACCTCTTGAGACTGCATGTGCTGGTCATGGAGTTCATTGGTGTGTATATCCCCTCCTTGAAATTGTGTTCCAGAAATTGACATTGGAAGTGATTGATGTTGGTGTATTTTTCAACTTCTGTTGGTAATCATAACTCGATTTTGTAGAAACCAATTGAGTGCCTTTTTCTAACCCCACCCACCCCAAAAGAGTTTCAATGATGTAAAAAAGAGAAAAGCTTAAAAGCTTACAAAAAGAGTCTTCAATTAGAGGTTAGTAGAGGAGAGGTAATAGTTAGAAAAATGTCTTGAGCATGAGAAGCAAGAAAAGAGATATTATGTTAAAATTTTGAGAGTTCCTTTTTAATATATTGGAATTCCTATACTATATCCCTTTAGTCAAATCTCCTATGAAATTGCTTTTATGGCGTTTGAGCATTAAACAGATGTTCCACCCAGTAAAGAAAACATAGTGTTTTGCAAAGAGAGATGCATGGACCTGCTAATATAAAAATATAAAAAAACCCTCTACCATAAAGAACTGAARACGAAGCAAAAGAAGATACTTAGCACTTTATGACTGGTATTTTTGGGTCACATCTTAAATCAAAGACGCCACCGATTTTCTTTTTCCTCTTCGTAGGTACAGCTGGTTGGGCCGCACCTCGTCTTAAGGATGCTGCCTTGTCGTTGAACAAGCTTCGTGAAAGTTATTTGGAGGTATGTCTGAATCTGTGAATATTATCACTGGGTCAGGTTGTAAGCTTCGTCTTAAAAAATCRGTTTTCTTGTTTGTCATTCAGGAATTTGGAGTTTCTTAAGTTTAATGTTTCATTATAGGAAACACTTTGCTTGCATGGCTCCAATGTGCTAATTTCTTTTGCATTTTTCAGATAATTATTACAATGCGGACTCTCTACCAGAAGTGCAAGTTAGTGCACGGAGATCTTAGTGAATATAACATACTTTATTTTGAGGTGAGTGGCTGAAATTATGATCGGTTAGAAAAAATTTCATTATGGAAAAACTAACGCAAGCTCCTCTCTTGCATTATAGGGTCACCTTTATGTTATAGATGTTTCTCAAGCAGTTGATCTTGACCACCCTCATGCCCTCGACTTCCTTCGTGAGGACTGTCTTCATGTTTCGGTAAGATGTCACGCTCCAGGCTTTTTTTTTGTTATGTTTTAAAGTTCCCTTCTGATGAAGTGATTTTGAGAGATGATACGTTCTACTGAAACAGGATTTTTTTAAAAAACATGGTGTAGCTGTAATGACAATACGAGAACTATTCGATTTTATAGTTGATCCATGCCTCACTGATGATATGATTGATAATTATCTGGGAGAGGTTTGACATTTAAGAATTGTCTTTTTAATTATTATATGATTAAATTTCAGAAGATCTTTTTTTTTTCCTTTCTTTTTACCCTGTTTAATTAATTGCAGATGCAACAAAAAATCATGGCAAGAGGAGATATATCTGTGGAGGATGAGATTGCAGATTCTGTATTTGTGCAGGTAATTTGTAGTTACAAACCATGTTACTGTAAGTTCACTTTATGATAGAATTGAAGGTTGATTCTTTGCAGTCGATAGATGAAGGATCGGTTAGATTAGGGTTCTTGCGATGCAATTTTTAATCGTCTTTTATCCTTCCCAGTCATATATTCCAAAGACACTGGATGATGTCAAACATGCTGAGGAGGATGTAATACGTTTAACAAGTGGTCAAGACACTCAAGATATGTACTATAAGACCATTACAGGATTAAAACAGGCCCTTCCTAGAGTCCAACCTGTGCCAGAGTTCAAAGATGAGGAAGAACACAATGCATRCCCTAATGAACAATCTGATAAAGAATCTGAATCGACATCAGAGGGAGATGAAGAGAGCTCAAATGAGTCTGAAGGAGGACCGGATTCTTCAACTGAGACAACGCAGGCACCAGTTGACCGGAAAACTGCCAGAAAAGAGAACAAAAAGAAGGTGAAGGAAGAGAAGAGAGAGGCCCGGAAAAACAAGGTTCCAAAAGCTGTAAAGAAACGAAAGAAGAAGCTGGCCAAGTCCCACAAGTAGGATGAAAATTGGTTCAGTTAGGTCAGTTTTGAAGGTTGTCCAGCAGTATTTGAACCGAACCATGTGGGAATTGAAGTATGAAAGATACTTGCAATTTCTTTGGTTTGGTTCTGCAGTTTTGATTTATGTTTATGATGTTTTGTTTAGTTTTTATTTATTTTACTGTTTTGCGCTCAAGTTTCCATTTAACACAAAAGAAAATGGAGATAATATGATTTTGTTGAACTGATTTATGAGAATTTGTTATCGCACAACAGTATCTCGATCTACATCTTCAAACAGGCACGCTGATATTTTTACATTTCTAAAAAGCATCATGAAATTAGCTTGAAGTAAAAGAAATTTCAAACTTAAAAACAACTGAAGATTAGTATTATAAAAGAGGTATATTGTAAAGACCACCGCATTGTCTATGCTTGTTTGGCAGATTTTGTGAAATCAAAATTAATTATTTGATGTTTATTAATATAATTTAAAGCAGAACGGCCCACACTTCAAATATCTAGTCGTTTTACACCTTGGATAAAATATCCACTATTTACTTTTTCCCTTGTTTCYACCTAAACAAAACACTGGACAAATAGCTTGTCTTTCGGTGAATCGAGCATCTAACCTCAAAAGAACCCCATCAACAAAGAATGGGAGGGAGAAGCAAAATAAAGAAGGAAAAAGAAAAGGGGAAACGCCCACTTTGATGGCAGAAAACAATACATTCAGAGGAACTTGGGAACTCTTCTTGCAAGATAAACAGACCTCAAGGAAGAAGGCGAATATGAATTTATTAAGAAGGAAAAGAGAGAAGTAAAAAACSGGACCCTATAGGTACACACAATGATTGAAGAACGACGTGCTTTCCCTTGGCATTACAATCTTTTCCGGCGTCGTCTCAGTCCTGTATCAACGTAATATATGCAGATTATCTTATCTTTGATCAACCTTTAATTGTTTAGGGGCAACTTGTGCTCTGTTTATGTTCTCCTCGTTCCATGAGGGATCCACTGCAGGAAGTTGGAATTCGTCCGGCTTCAGGGCCAGGGCAAAATCGGGCAACGTCGGTGCGGTCTCCACGATCCTGTAATTGTTGATTTACAGGCTGAATGATCAGTGTGGTTTATCATGAAGTTTACCATTTGGAAAAAATACTTACTTTTCGAAAGAGTACAAGTCGCGGTTTATCCGCACTTTGCTTGAAGCGTCTTTTGGAATTTTTTCTGATAGATACTTCATGGTTCCAAAAAGTGGCGGATTTCTGCATGGAGAATGCAATCATTGCTACGGGAGAAAAAAAATAAGGGTAACAATTTCCATTATATTTTAAACTCTCTCAAGTATGAATTAAGTAAATATTCTTTGGTGCTACATTTTGTTACTATAATTCAATTTATATATTGCGTTTACCAATGATTTATTTGTYTAGAGTTCGCAAATGGAAATAAATTTCTGTTTAACATAGATCTAACATTTGTATGAAACTCTTACTTCAGACTATGAACTTGAAAATGAAAGAAAAGTTAGAAACATGCCTGCAGACGTGCCAATCGAAAGACAATGAACATACCAATGAAATGAAAGCAGAAATAAAGTACCTTGATAAAGGAAGAGCGGAGTTAAATGCCTCACAAGCCTTTTTACTTTCTTTAAAATATTCATCAGCTGCTTGCAATGCAGCTACAGCCATCCCATGGGACTTCTCTGTGTTTCCCTCGTCGAGAATCAAACCATGGTAATAATAAGCTGCAGCCTGTTTAACAATGAGTTAGTTCGGGATATCTGTTTGCCAGGTTATCTACTGTGACACTACTATCAAACTCGATTCTCATAAATTAATGGTATAAGGTTATAGTTATAGATGTGACAAAATTAAGCTTTTGGAAATTGGGATAGGCACCAAATATTCCAATTCCTAATACAAACAGGATGAAATTTTTAAGTAAAATGAAACTGAATATAAACAGAGTTTCTTAATCAGCAGAAAGCCAGAGATGGACAAGGACTCAACTGAGTATTTTWTTCCCAACTCCTGGGYACTTTGTTATGAGTAGACTCTAATATCTTGGCATCCTTTGGGATGCTATAGGTAGGAGGATTATTTTTTTTAAGTACAATAAATATGGGGTATGAGGATTTAAACTTCTGACTTCAAAAGAAGAAGTGTCTTTTATCATTGAACTATGTTCATCTCGACTTTGGCTAGCTATTAGTGTTCTTGCTATCGTTAATTAGTCAAAACCAAGAGTAGCTAGGATATAAAAGTGCAATCAAAACATACCTTTGCTTCAATGTATTTCCATTTAACGAAGAACCGGTGCTTCTCTCCCCAACCATTCGATAATGGAAGATTCATAATGTTATCTTGGGCCTGTAAAATAATCAGCATATAAGAGCTGCTATTTGAACAAATAGATAGTGAACATCATTGACCGATTCAGAATCAGTATTTGAGGAAAATAAAATTGACCAATACATGAACAAAGTAATCCATCATCCAGGAACACCAGCCAAGCTGTGTAAGTAATTAACATTCAGATGGATTCTACATGAATCATGAAATAAGTTCTACATCGTAAAATTTGACCACTCAAAACTCAGGCAGGATACTGAATACAGAAAATTATACAAATTTACCATTAAATAAATGGATAATCATCCACGTCCATACAATCAACAAAGGTCCAAAGAATGCATTTGCAAATAATCTGATTGGTTAAAATGTTTCAGCACCTWGAAATTAGAATCTACTTTCTTCTATTTCATATTGGAGAAAAAGCAAGCTTCTAAATCCTAAGTAGGTAGGTGGCCACCATGGTTTGAACTCATTCCCTCTAAGTCCTTTGCTATTTATATTGGACCTCRTTGACCACTTGAGMAATCCATGATGGTTTTACATGGAATTAAGATTCTTGGAAATGTAATACTTGGATATAAAATATTCAAAAATAAAGGATGACAAAAATTGGTATTAAGATGCCAAGAAACGGAATACTTTGGATATAAGTTATCCAAAAATAAAGGATATCAATGTTTGACTTTGTATGAGAATTCCATAAAAAATTGATGTCTTGGATAACTTTGAAATCTATTGATTAATTTTAATCTGAAATTGTGTAATATTGACTTTTAATTAATTAAAATCATTTAATTAATGAATTAAAAAAAATTAATTATTAATTAACTCTTTTAATTTAATAATTTATTACATAGGTTGTATTGTAATATACTTTTACCAATTCCAAACAATTCACTAAACATTCAATATTGCATTTATAACATAATCTTAGCTTAACAACCGAAAAAAAAAAATTTTGAATCAATATGCAATTATCTATTAATTAATGATAATTAAAAACTAGTTGCTATTCAATGACTAACAACATTTGTTTTTATATAATTTTATAAACTAAATTTTGTTTTGATTGATTTTAATAGCATAATATGTTAAATTAACTTTGATTTGAAATTATTAATAATATAATCTAATTTATTTTTATTTTATGATAAAAAAATAAACAAAAAAAAATCCCATAGGATAGGAAAAGGACATATCCATGGTTTTGGATGGGTTTGATGTGTCCTCCCTATAAGGTATAATAATCTCATCCCATGGGATCATGCCAATGATGCTTTTTTGGAAACCAGACATGGAAAGAGAATTAGTATACTCATAGGATAGAATGGCTCCAAATGGACTATAAAAATGATTTATTAAGAGCCATAACTAACTTCTGGATGATATTGTGATGACAACACCAGGATGCTCCTATGCACAAGCGTATCTACAAAGGCACGAACCCCCAAACAAAGTTTTCTTGATGTAAATTCATTAACTAGTATGAATGGGCTGAAACAAAGAACAGACAAACAGGTACTGCTCGGATTGCCAACTTGCACTTTTAATTCTCTAASTAGAATAGGTATAATTCTACCGTCCCCAGTGATAAATAAACTAAAATGGAGAACAAAATAAAAAGTAGTGTGTGAAAGAAATCCATTCAATGAATCATGACGTAACAATATAAGAAAGGGGATAAGCAATTTTTAGAGTATTTATGTACTTGTAAGGAACAATGCATGTAGATGTAATTTAATCGAATAAATTGACCAACCTAAAATTGTATGCTGTTGCAATTATTAATTACATAATTCTATATCAGAACTCGAGATGTTATGCACTTGTAAATGTAAATGTATCCATCACAAATACATATAGATGCAACGCACAAACTAAAATTGATTCTATGAATGTGTTGAATCTGAATATTACCAATGCTGGGATTTGTACTGTAAAATATGCAGCTACAGCAGCCATATTTTAAGCATTTATAAAGATGAAAGACAGATTTGCGGTACTTGACTAAGCCAATAGAGAGATAAAGGTCGATAATACTTGAATAGTAATTTGTAATCAGATAGTGTTATAAATTAAAGAACAAACTTACCTGCTGCCAATATTTTACCATCTCACATGCAAGCCTTCGCTTAACAGCGAGAGTAGCTTTGGTGCTATCAATAGCCATTCCTAGCTGAATATCAACTCCCTATATCCAAGTTTATAGAATGGATGAGCAGATAAAAAGGGTGAAGTAACAAGAAATCCCTAATTTATATGTGAAAACTGAATATTGCACATAGATGAGAAAATTGCACTTGCACCATCCAGCTTGGTCCTTGAACACTAAATTGTTTGATAATAATTTCAACCATGCATCTAAGCGATGTGGCAACCAATTATTACGACAATACAGACRTAGTACCTGCCCCAGTGCTTGCAGGCAAAGCGCTCGAAGAACTCCTTCAGCAAGGTCTACCGGCAGATTTCTCCTACAGTAGCATAACATGATCAATTGTACAAATAGAACTGGAGATGCAAACAATAAAGAAACTCCAGGTCAATAGGCCTTGTGGTTGGAAAAAAACGAGATTTTTCTTGAGAATAGAGTCGAAGATGGAGTTCTTTTGCTAGTTTGTATTGAAGGTGGGATCTCAGTTATGTAATTATGAATTCTTTCTAAGTTTAGAGGGTCCTTTTAACCAACTGACTAATTCTTGTGTGTTATGCTTCTTGACAAAATATGTTTGTATCGGATAAAAACAAATAAAGATGCAAACGATGTTTAGATCATCAAAACTATTAATATTCAGACCTAAATTCAGCAGGCAACTGAGGAAGAACGTGTCTAACAGCACAATCCAAATATCCTGCAGCCTTTACAAAAATGTCAATTGAAGCTCGCCTACTCTCTGCARGGGAAGGAAACCACCTTTTAATTATGTGGCCATAGAAGTTTGGATTAAATGAAGTATGAAGAAAGCCTACCAGCTTGAAAATTGCAGTTTACATTAAATATAAATTCTATATCCTAGTACACGGAGAAATATGTATCTCATATTTCTTTAGTCGTGACTATACATCAATGCACATATAAGTAAATGCAGACTGGACAACAGATCGGCAGCACGAAAAATAAAGAAATATTAAGTTCCTTTCTACACCTTTTTATTTTGACTTACATCCTTCACTGAAAATTAACATTCTTTCATTCAAAAGAAAAAAAAAACCACACAGTATTACCCTTCTCCAATCATCTGAATGAGCTTTCCAGAAAAGAAATGTTTGTACATGAGAGAGATTTAAAGGAAATGAACGTAACTAATATACACCATATGATGATGAATTAGTTAAGAGTACTTGTATGCAAAATACTATAATCTTGGTAAATTTGTACTTCCGTATTCTATGTAATGATTCTAGAGCTTGAGAAGAGAGCAACAACTGAAACTGAGATATAGCCCATTTGATATATATGCATTATGCATTAACGGTTATAGAAAATTAAAAAGAAAGACGAAAGAAAAGAAAACTATGGACCTAAAGACTTGTGATACAACATTCTGCAGGAAATTACCTTCTGATACTTTTGGCTGATAACCATCAGAAGATGTTCTAGGAAGAAGTAATAAGTTGGCCTGTGATAATGATAGCATTGCCATTAAGTGCAAAACTGACAGCACCTCATACCAAGCATTGGACATGGTGGTTTCCTGCAAAATAATTAAATATTAACACAATAGTAGAATCTCCACTAGATTTATTTTTCAGATCTCTTTAGGAAACTACATGAATTAAAAAAAATAAWTATATTAATTTACAAGAAGCGAACAAAATCTTCTCAAATAACTMTGGTATGATGACAACCTCCAAATCATCCTCCTGATTAATCCATGCAAACTGTACTTTGTGTTGAAGCTGGTTTCCTAGATAGAGCACACAAGCGATATTCTTAGGAATTGTCTTATAAAACATGTACATCAGTCATAATCAACTGTAATATGGCTTACCATCTTTAACTAATCCCAGAAGAACAGGCAAATAATCTTCCAGAGCCTGCTGAAGATCAGCTAATGTTGAACCACCTAAAGAYAAAAGTACGATCTGGTGTATCAAAAGGAAAAAATATAAAATACGCATAGTTTTGAAGAGGATAATTCATTTTATTACTAACCATGTTGGGTAGCAGTTTTTCTCCGTGTTCTTGTTATTGTTGGACCTTCCTGGCCAGCCATTACAACTATACGAGTTCTCAGAGCCGAAAGACGTTCAACAAGATTTTTGGATAGATTATCGCCAAGTGTGAGAGAGAAATCAACTGGTTTTGGAATACGAAGACCAGGAACATAGACTGAAACTTCCCCAATGTTTCCCGGCCTCCGCCTGTTTCCACCAGAATCTGCCGGCTTTGAAACTAGGCATCCCATATCCTCAGAAATGAAATTTCTGCCCACACAATATCAATGTTTCTCAATTACTCTGGACTTAGGCATTTTATACGTTCATATGGCACAAGAACCAATTCATCAAGTTAGTCCAGGTATAGATCAAACTACGACAAATATGAGCTGGTGGTGAAAAAACGCTGAAGCAAAGAACATAAACTTCACAAGAGTGGTTGCCAGTTGCCAGCAAAAAAGCCGGAAATATAAATAAATAAATGCCAACTAACAAAGCAGAAGTAGTAGGTTACTCACGAGTAATACTAGTCACTCTTAAAATTGTCCACAAAATTTAGTGCGACTCCCTTCCTTTCTAATACTAAAAATACCGTCCTCGTTCATCTTTGCTTTTTGACTAAAAAATAACTTATTTATTGCAAGAATTGATAAAATCCGTGCTCAATCTGTCACTATTTAGATGGTTCATCAATCAGTCAAACCTCTGGCGGATTCTTAACAAAATCAGTTCAGCAGATATAAAAAGTAGATAATATTTAAGATCTTAGATCAAAAGAAATGCGAGAGTCACATGAAAGGCATGAGATATAACAGTTGCCTTTCGCAACTTTTATCCGATACCTACATTTTCTGTTTTTCTTTTTCTTGTAACAACGAGAAGAATATAAAGGAGACGCTGAGCCTAGCAAGTGCACATTGATCCACTCAGAAAGGGCGGATTCCTCCCCTTTCACCGGTTCTGCAAATACATAATTTAAAAGCGAAAATGTGAAAATCACGGAATATTAGTTGCTCTAAATTCGGAAATCTACATAGGAAGAAAACAAATATACTACCAAAGGATCGAAACTTCAAGGAGGGGAAGCAAAATCTTCTTACGAAAATTGCGAGTAAAGGAACTTCAGGCAAAGCTCAAGCAACAGTTGAAGAACAAAAGCAAAGTTAAGCTAACACGTATAATCTTCATCTTCTTCGCTATTAAAACGTTTTTTGAATTGACAAGGAACCATGCCGTAATTGAGAATTGAAATAGAGAACATGAAAGTAGAACAAACGGAAATAGAAACAGAGAACGAAAGAAGAAAGACCAGAAAATTTCCGATAATTAACAACTGACAGGTCCAGATACGAACAATTCCACCAAAACATGGAAATGCAAAACTCCAACTCGAACTCAGAGAAGGAACCGCAAACAAACTTCAAACAGAGAATAAAGCGAAGGCTCCGCCAAAAATCTATGCAAAATACATTAAAATGAGAGGAGGTGAAGTTTCAAAATTCCGAGAAACATCCGGCGTCCAGAATTGAAAACTTCGTCTCTATCTCACACAGTTTTCGCCGCTTCCAAAAAACAGCAGAAGCAAGAATCATGCGCAAGAAAACGGAAATTACGAAAACTGAAAATAATCTCACCATGAAACACTGAAGCTCCGGCAATTCTCAATCCAAAAGAAGCCAATCTTCAAAACAGAGAAACGAAAACCCTAAGAAGCGAACCATTCTTCAGCCAAACAGACCTCCAAAAGTTTCGACCTCAAGCGGTTACTGTTCACAAAGGCAATCAAAGACGGAAATAGAGAGAGGAGCAAGAGAGAGAGAGAGGTTGCTTTTGCTTCCTTTTGCCTAATGGCTGAATCTGAAGTATTCTCAAATTACGCCTCTAACTCTACAACAGTTCAATTCAAATTCAACTACAAGCACAGCCTAGCTTTCTTTAAATAATAAAAATAGCGTTCATGATTCTTCTTCTCTTTTGCGTTTGCCTCGCTTCTCAGTGCTCTTCTCCCCCTCGATTTACCGCTAAAAAACGGATTACTGCTAATTCTGTAATTAATTACATCTGTTTGGGTTAAATCTGTAATTATAGAATTAATTATCCTTTAAATTACATAGTTTTTTTTTCCTTTTTTTCATATTGCTAAAAAAAGGTTCAAGAGTTGACTTCTGTCTATTTATTTTATCCAATAAATCATTTTCTTCGAATATTAAAATACAAAATGATATTGCATTTGAATCAACTTTGAAATTCAAAAAGATTACATACTTTTTGCTCTTCCTGTATGTTATTATTTTGGTCTCATTACGCCCACATGTTTATTTAACATGACTGGATGTGGGTGTGGCAATAGCCTTTTGGATTCAAAGAAGGTCCCACCATATCAAAACTAATTATTTTTAAATTCCTTTTTACTTAACTAACATAAGTTTACGATTGGAGTTTTAATTTTATCAAATTCAATAATTATAAATTTAATTAGACTAGTCTTTTTAGAGTTATAGCTATATTTTACATATTTGCGACGGTTGAAGCTATATATATTTTTTTGTTTTTTTTTGGCTGTATTAATTTTTTTTAATTGAATCTTGTGTGATTGAGATTCAAATATTATAATGTTTTAACTAGTTAAATTATGCTCCAATGGATCGTTTATAAAGTTTAATAGTTCGATTTTATTCAATTAAAACTTTAAGAAAGTTGTAAAATTTTAATTGAAAGGAAGGTATTTAAATTTAAAACAAAACATTTGAAATCCTATTAATTATTTTTTAGTCAGAAGTTAGAACTGTCATTCTTATACAGACCTCCAAATGTTACAACTTGCAATCTAGGATTCATTAATAAACCTTACATTWTATTTTAAAAATACTTGAGCAACAATACGACCAAACTCTTTATTAAATTAATTATTTATTTATTTTGTTGGTTGGATTATTCAGAGTTAATGAACCTTACGTCCCATAATTTCAATTAAGATAAATATATGCAATTAGCCCTCACTTTCTTGGAAGTTGGAAAGCCATCGCGACGTTTTATATTGATTTTATATCTTATCTTCCAAAACCATGGCATTTTATAATTCATTAATTATCTGTCAGCTCATGCATATAAAATTGTTGTTTGTTTAATAATTAAATAAATAATATTCAGACATTGGGATTAAGAAATGTATTTGTCGAAGACTTGAAATTGGGGATATACGAGAATGTTTGTTAAATGCTGACCTGTCACTTGATTTTTTATAAAACAAGATCAATGAAAATGAACATAAATAATAGGGAAGCTTATTCTTAATTAAAATACACAATARCTTAACTGATTAAGAAATATATTRATAAAAGGTCTGAGATCCAAGTGCACAATATTATTCTATTTGAATATGTAGCAACATAAGGACTCTCTTTTGAATATGTACRTAAGACGTTGGTCTTTCTCAACGTGGTGTATCGTATGAAAAATTGTTCATACAAAATAAGATCATTCACTCTTATTAAAGAGAAGAATAAACATTTTATGATATTTTTTCGCCTTTTCAAGGGTCTTATGGGGAGAGGGCAAAGATTCGGGTGCATTTTTCAAAAGGACAAAACTTTCCCCTAGAGATTTAGCTTSATGCGTGGTCTAGTAGCATATAAAAAAGCGGATTTTTTAATTTTGTATATTTCCCATATGATCCATTTGTCTATATCTTATTGGACTACATAGGAATTCAGGAGAAAGCTCCTCCTGAATGTTCATGAGGGAAGTTTTTTCCTTTTCAAAATCGTGCAAGGTTCAAACCTCTGGTTGAATTAAAAAAAATCATAATTAAAATGCAATTAAATGGTTTGGTTGGACAACGAATTAAACTGTTTTTTTTTTCTCTAAATAATTTTATGTTTTTAGAATGAATAGTATATAATAACTATTTTCAGAACTCCTTTAGGAACCAAATGAAGTTGTTCTTTCTTCCAAAGTTAAGAGCGTGTAAATAAGTTATCATACACTGTAGTATTAACTTTTTACCATTTATTTAAGTAAATTTTCTTAAAACYGGTACTGGGAAAAAAATAAAAAGGCATTTTAGAAGCAAATTTTCAAAACAAAGTCCTAAATATATCATTATTAGTAGTTTAAGTAGTTGACCTAGCAAGAGTGGACTAAACCCATGATATGACCTTTTAAATTTATATTGGTAGTTGTAACAACAA